ACACGAATGGGACAAAGGTACCCAAGCAATCTACTTTTGTACAAAGTCTCCCTCTGGTGTTTTTGAAGACTTTTTAATGATTTTATTGTTCAGCAATCGACTTTTGTACACTATTAATTGTAAAATTAATAACCAAAATTGACTAATTGTCGAGGTAGTCGCGTAACTTAATCACAAAAAAAAAAAAGAATTGAAATCGTTTTGGTTTGGAAAATTTTTCAAAATTAAATAATAGAACTCATAAAGAGGTAATAATTTAGGCGTAAAAACTCACAATAAAAAACTAATAAAATTGTTATTACACATATTGGATGAATTTATTATACTTTAATGGAGGATAATGGAATGGTAATGGAATGGTTCGCGCAGCCAGTATACTGTGGCGGGGCGCCGGTGAAGGATCATAGGTGAGAATGAAAGCAGATCAGTTGGCCTGCTTTATGAATTCATTAAGAATATCTAAACCACAATGATTTTTAAGGGAATCATGTGGAGGTAGCCTACATCTCGCTCCATTTAAAACAATTGAGTCGTTGAGGGGCCAAGAGAATAAACTTTTTTTTTCCAGTTTTATTATATTAATAAGATTTATTTACAATTTTCAATAGTTATCACTGCATTTGTTTTTCTAACTTGGAGAGAATACTATGTAGCATTAAATTCGCGTTTTGTACCAATTTTTTTTTTGTAATTTTTATTTATGTAATTTTTTAATTTTTTTTTATTTCCTTTTAAATTTTATAATTACTCTAGCCACGACAAATTTATATCGCTAAGTCAGTGAAAACCTGTTACTGGCTTTTTATATGGATAATTTGTTATTGTTTTAAGCTATAAATTGTAAGCTGTTGGTTTTCCAATAAATAAATAATGTGACCAATATATAATATTAGTAAGGACTAAATAAATAAAAATTATAAATTGGACACCTAGATAGTTTATAAACATACCTATTGAATGTTTTAAAAAATGCAATAAAATGGAATACAATCACGCAGTTGGGTCAAAGCCGTAGGGACCTAGAGTAGCAAATTTATTGATCAATGTCACGCAATTGTGAACAGTGTCATTATTGTGAGATGGTTTAGATTGCTTTATTCAAGATCTTTGTTAAGCTGATGGTCAGGGCCGGGTCAGAATATGAAATTGTGAAATGAGTATTTATTTAGCTTTTGTTACAATAATTATATTGAACAAAAGACATAATCACCTATGTACATAAGGTATAATACGGTTTTTACAATAAAAATATCTGGCAGATTTTTTATTCGTATAACGTATTTAAAATCTACAAATTATTAAAGGACACGTTCTTGTAACATGCACTTGAAGGTTCATCCATTAACAATACATATTGATGTATTTTGGTAAGAAAGGGGATATTTTGAATATTTTGAAACTACCTTTTCGTAAATTCAAAATTGTTATTAAAAAAGACTTATATTGAAGAAAGCCTATTTACATTCTAAACGATTACTGAATGACAAATGTGCATGGTGTTAGTCGATCATGCACGGGCTTTTTAATGACTATGTATATATATATATATATATATATATATATATATATATATATATATATATATATATATATATATATATATATATATATATACATAGTCATCACTTAAATAAATATACGTGTACTTATAATATATGTATATGTTAACAGAGATTTAAAAGAGTAACTGTTGAGTTTCTTGCGATCTCTTCTCGACTGATAACAACTTTCTGAACCCTGCAGTAGATTAAAAAAGACAAATTAAAAGTACTTGTAAACAAGTCTGTTTGAATAAAGATGATTTGTATGTGATTTAAAAAGATTAAGTGTGTAAAAAAATATACACATTGCACGGGGACAATCAGCCAGTTCCTTTTACCTGATAATGGATACTATTTATATTTTTTTTTATACAACTTAGAATGACAAACAAGCTGACGGCGCACCTGATGGAAAATGGTAACCGTCGCCTATAGACATGAGCACTATGGACATAACAGAGTACACTGTTTCGTCCATGATATCCCCCATGCGTTGCCATTCCTGAGGACTCAGGTGTTATTCCTCTGTACCCTGTAAATTCACGCATTATTCATGCAAATTCAATATCTCACCCTTCAAACTCAAAACACAGCCATGCAAACACAACTGCTTTACGGTTGAAATACGAATGGTATTATTTTGTTTTATAAATCACATGCGTTACTTTTCTTTTTTATTATTCAAATATACAGTAATAACCTAATTTTATTTTCAAGTGAAGTGAAGTCTGGTTGATAGAGATCTAAAAAAAATTATTTTACCACTAAAAACTATTCTTGCATAGCTGTGTTTAATTTGAAAGGATAATGACAGGCAATGCAAAAGACGAGAAGATATGAAACGTTATTCCTTGACAACACTAGAGGATACGAGTATAACGTTCCTTTTTAGATAACTATGAAGCTTATCGGATCTATAGGCGCCGGTTAAGAATCTCTGTATATGAATTGTAAGTATGTTTGCCATTTCATATTATACATTTAAAGCATAAGTATGTGCAGGTTTGCTTTTGAATGGGTGAGAATGGAATGGTAACCCCACCTGCGCTATTGTTTTACGCTGGCGGGGCACCAGTGAAAGATTATTTATGAGCATGAAAGCAAAGGGTCTGCCATGAAATGAAATTTGGAATTTTCGGACTCAATTTTGTGTTTTTGTTAATACCGAAATTGGCCCAATAAATGGAGTTTAACGTATTTTTTTGTCGTAAATTCTACCATAAAAGTCTAAAGGAATGATATTTTAACATTTTTAATATTTTTGAACGGTATGTATCATGTAGTTTTAACTTGAAATTTGTGTTTCATTCGATCCTAATTTTCGAAAAACATAGTAGACCCTCTGGTTAATTAGCCCATCGTAATGAATTCATTAAGAATTAACCACGATAATTTTCAGAGGCAACCGCGCAGAGGTCGACCTAATATATTGCTAGCAATGAGACTTTTAGACCCCATTACTAACAAGTTGTTCACCAGTAAATATAGGTGCAATAACATATAATACTTTTACAATAGGCAGGCAGTTTATTATACTATAAACCATATTTACTTTTATCTTCGTGTGTGATATGATAGTGCTCAGACCATATCTGTGATACTGGTTGAATTTCAGAATACATTTGCATATTACACACTCCATACTACATTCGCATGACGCCTGCCCGCAGTGTTGCCAGATGGTGTTATAGATTTCGCCTTAAATTTGAAATATTTTCTCTTCAAATACGGTTTCTTTTAGTTTTACTCAAATCATAAGATCAAAGTTTATTTTTATAATAATAATAAACACTTTATTGCGCACAAAAGGGATATATACATGGAGTGTTTATGCAAAATGTGCATATACAAAAGGTGGCCTTATCGCTAAAAGCAATCTCTTACAGAAAACCTGGCATAAATAGTAAATAAGTACAGAGAAAAAGGTAGATGGCGCAAGTCAGACACAGTAGATACAAGAAAGTAACCTAATAAAATACAAATTATTCTAAACATCATTTATATAAAAATAAGTGCAAATTATATAACCATACATATATAATTTAAATAATAGTACATAAATATAAATACACTAAATAGATCGAGATAAATCACACGTAGATAACAAGGCAAGGTATATTACTAGAAATCGTTTAGTCTAATTAATTTATACTACTAAATCATTTTTCATTACACTGTACCAATAAAATGCCATTATGGGCGAAACAAAAGAAAGAAAATCGTCCCTCACTACTAATTTTAACATTACAATTACAATAAAATTTTCCAGTTCTAATTTTTACTTTGAAATAAATTACCCTAAATTATCCACAACAATTTTGTTTTTCTCCAAAACATCTTTCCATCTCTATTTAATCAGTTTTTTCAAAATTTCTCCATTAGAAAAATTTATACCCAGAACTGTGGTAAACATGCTCAATCTGGCAACACTACCTGGTCGAGTTGTGTTTAATCTACAATTTTATCACAATTAATCACACATCTTAGTATTTTATTTGTTAAGTACACATGGCCACAACATCGTTAAATATTATTAAAAAACAGTTTTTTAAAACTGTTTTTCCATTATGTTTTACATGTCGTCACCGACGAGTAGTTCATTCCTATACCTTGGACTCTGGATGGTTGTGCTAAGCGTGGTTTCAATGATGTTTCCAGCGATGAACGTTCAAGTTATGGAAAGAGCTGCCTGACTTCGTTTAAAAAAAATGCGTCCATGAATTTATTCGTTTTTTTTTTTTTTTCATTTTAAAGGCTAAATTTTCAAATGAAAATATATTTGTCATCTGTAATTACTATTTTTCAAAATATTCGAATACCAAACGACTCGACATCACTGCGGTAGACTTATGGTTTTTTAATGGATGATAATGGAACAGTAAACCAGGCTGCGCTATCGGTATATACTGGCGGGGCACCAGTGAGAGATGATAGGGTGAAAGCAGGTTAGTTGTCTAGAGGAACGAATCCATAAATAATTATCAAACAAGATTTCGAGACAAAACAGCGTGGAGATCAATCTGATAGGATATATTGCTAGCAATGGGGTGGCTAGATTAACATTAATAAAATCCCTTTCCGACAATTATCTTACGATTTTGACAATTTACTCAATATTTTTTTATGAGACGTACAATGGCAAACAAGTTGACGGCCCACCTGATGGAAAGTGGTAACCATCGCCTATAGACATGAGCAGTACCATGGACATAACAGAGTATACTGTTTCGTTCATCATGTTGCCATGCATTGCCCATACGTTGCCATTCCTGAGGACTCAGGTGTTATTCCTCTATACTCTGTAAATTCACTATCACATCCCACCCTCCAAACCGAAACATATCACTGCTTTACGGTTGAAACATGAATGGGACAGAGGTACCCAAACAAACGATTTTTGTACAAAGTCTCTCTCTGGTAACTACATGATTTTTAGTAACAGATGGAATATAAAAATAATACAATTTCACATATCAATTTTATTAAAACCTTTTTTTTTCATACCAAGCTTGTATATTCACCTAGTTACATCGAATATCTAACTCGCATATACATACAACTTCATTTTATATATATAACATTGTTTTTTACATATAATTTGACCAACAAATGGCCAGTCCAAACATATTCAGTACCAACATTCAATATACTATAGGGTTGCCACTTACATTAGAACGTGATTTAATATTATTATATTATCCTTAATTAGTCATGAATAACGTTGAAACATTGCAAATGAAAATAAGAAAAAATTAAAATAAAATATAAATCTATTTAAGTATATCGATAGTTATGCTACGTGAGCAAATGAATATTAATTGTACTTAGAATAGATTTTTATAACGATAGCAGTGGTTCTAGCAAATACATGCTAATTTTCTCCTCTTTTCAGGTGAGTACCAAAAACGATTACCACTTGATCACTTCTTATTTATTGTAATACAAGGCGGCCTAGGCACAATTTACCGTAACTACCGTACAATATCAATCGTAATTATATCTAAATATTTTTATTGGCAACCCTATAAAAAATTGTCAACCATTCAGAGACAATACAAGTACCACATGCACTCTTATTGCAAACAAATAAATATTAAAATCGAATGTTACATGTTGTGATAGTTGCTGAAGTGAGTGAATTTAATCGATAATGAAATCGATTTAATTATCGAAAATCGATTTCAAAAGAAAACAGTATTTTATAGTAAATAGAGATGATTCTTGTGACATTTGATAGATATATTGTGTTTATATTATTATTATTATTGATAACTTCGAAAGTACTTTATATAAAATAAGTGTTTGTCTATCTTTTGTCCTTTATATATGTACATAACAAAATACTTGACCTGTTTTAATCGAATCTTATGCATTTTAATGACAATTGTTATGAAGTTTACAATTTATTAAACATATTTAATAACTCAAAAAACTATAGTCATTTAACTAGTTTATCGTATCACAATTTCAATCCAAATCCACATTTAAAATGTCCGGATAATGAATAAAGAATTTATATAGTTTTGTCTATTTTGTTAAAAAAAAAATGAACAGAGACGGATAACTGAATTACAAGATTAACGAGCAATATAGCTCATATTTTCAAAATTTATCTCAATTGGTTTGGTCAAGACATTGTCAATTGTAAACCATTTTATACTTAACATTTTTACAATCATTGTATACTACGTTGGGATTGGCAATACGTAGTACGTTTCCTGTTACGAACCGAGAAATTCCTCCCCCTATCCTTGACATGACCAGTCAAAAAGGAAAGCATGACGCTTTCAGCGGAAGAAGACTTACGGATGAAGTAGAAACAATTGTAGAAATGGCAAATATAGTAAGTTCATGAATATATATATATATATATATGTATTCAGTATAATATATTAACAACCATTCAACTTGTTCGAAAGTAGCGAACGAGCTGTTCACCAACAACTCATCTGATGGTAACCGGACCTCACAGGATATACGGTAACGCCTATGATACCGCTCATGTTTTACCACTTTATGTTCGATATTGCATTGGCTATGTTCACTATGATAAAACTAATTCATAATTCTTATGATTATAACATTAATTTTAGTTTTACGATAGAAATTAATCAAAATAAATTAGTATCGAATCGAGACATCGACGCCTGTATTTATTGAAATAGCCATTTTGTAAATCAACAAAATTTAAAACAGACATCATTACAGTATATATAAAAGATTGTTTCAGACTTCAATTGGGACAAAATCAATTGTTTTGATTTAAAAATCAAACTACTGAACCGATTTTGATAAAATTTCTATGGGACTGATCTGTAAGTATATTATTAGATAAAAGCATTTTCCAAATTGATTTATAACTGATGGAGTTATGAGGTAACAAACATAAAAAAATGTAACCTAATTGAGAACCTCTTTCTTTTTAAAGTCGGTTGAAAATAGATAAAATATAAACATAATAACTACTTATAGGTCATAAAAAATTAAAACTAAATTAGATTCAAAAACTAAATTTCTTGAATCAATTTTAATAATATTTCTTTAAGATTTTCTATCAGGTGAACAGTCAGTTTGCTTGCCATTTAAAAAAAAAAAGACTAACCGATTGACCGTTATTTCTTTCAGATAAAAAAATAATTTTCCAAATCGGTTTACTAATGACGAAGGTTGTTAGGTAACAAATATAAAAAAAAATATATTATATAATATGATCGAATTGAGAACCTCTTTTTTTGAAGTCGGTTGATAAATAAATAAATCAATAGGTCCAGCAGTTTTAATATCACGGACAAAGCATTGGAACAAAGATTTATTTTGTGAATTTGGATGGATATGAGTTACAATAATTTTCTTAAACTAAATCTATCAGTAAAATGTGTTTATTATATTTAAATTATGGTATAAATTATGAGGTCATTAAAATATACAATACCGTACTTCTCTGATTAAATACATAGAACAAATAGTACATGATTTTATATAAATAGGTTTTAAATTAATCTAATACATAATCATTATATATAAAAAAAAATGTACTAAAACAACGTAATTATAATGGTGAGATTTTTAATTGGAAGGTCTAAAACAATTGTGTTTTGGATAATTTATTTAATTTTATAATAAAATATAAATTTATTTACTTAAATTAAAAATAAGTTTACCTTTGACTCAATTTAGTTATATACAATATAATTTATCTATGAATAATATTTAATATATTATTAAAAGTAAATTTTCTGTTAATTGCCAGTCGCCGATCCAGTGGGGTAACTTAAAAAACGGTTATAACATCTGTTCTTTAACCGAAAAGATTTACGTTAATAATTTTATAGTTAATAATTCTGTCAAAATTGATGACTGTTTTTATTAAAATAAAATAGAGCAAATTTCAATAATACTGTAAATATATAAAACGTAAAGTGCGTTCAAATAAAGAATTGCTTTAAGAAAAAGTAATTATGTATTTGTAACATTTAATTATGTTTAAATTAATAATAATAACTAAATTATAAATAGATAGATACTATTTATTGTTTCCTCCAAAAGATTACAATAGTAAAATTATTATAAATACAAACAATTACAAGAAAATATTACAGTAAGAAAACAATAGGTGGCCTTATCGCTTAAAGCGATCTCTTCCAGGCAACCTTCTGATGGAGAAGAATAATTATAAACAGTAATATTAATATATTATATTAAATAAAATTTTCTTTAACTATGCATATATAAATAGGTAACATAATAGGTAAAATATAATTTATTTATGCTTTTTAATGAAATTTTTACTTTTTACTTAAATAAATATATGAAATAATTAAAGTATAGATTTGAAACCGCTGCATCGACACGACTATGCAATTTGATATCTTAACTATCTGATATGTGAATGTTCATAAATGAACATTAATTAAATTAGTCGAGTAAATAATTATAATATAGAATGTAATAGATACTCTTTTATAAATATTTTGTCCTTTTTATTGTCTTTTTTTTTTTGTCAATAAAACTATTTTTTTTTTTCATTTACGTGAGCAATTAATGCGATGACGTCACAGTATGGCAATGAATGATAGTAAGCTTATAAAATATATGAAAATATATTTTGTAAATCAACCAAGAGGAAGCCCATCAAACATTAAACCATTTATAAATATATATCAGCATTTATACAGCGAAATAATTACATTTAAATGAACCATAACATTTTTATAAAATATATTTTTAATAGATAAAACTAATTACTTACTTACAAATAAAAAAAATTGTAGTGTATTACTTTTATTAACATTTATGCATAGAAAAAACGTTTGTAGATTTTTCTTTTATTTATCCAAATATGATTTTTTGTTTTTTATTATTTATTAATTACCTATATCATAGGTTTATTTTATTGACGCTTGGACATGGCCGTAGTTAGGGGGGAAGTATTTAAGGGCAATGCCCTACCTTAAAAAGAAAGCCCCCAAGAAAATTAGATAGATTCGCTTTTTCAAAGTCACTTAATTATGGCTTCTGCATTTCTAAAAAGTTTGCTTGCCTTATTTTAAACTTGGGCCTAGCTACGGCCCTGCGCTTGGACCATTAAAACATTTGTGTGTACTTAAAACAGAATTCGATTTAATACGAGTGAATTTAACTACACAATGTTGTAATTAAGATTATAAAGTATTACTGGGTTGAAAAAAAATATCAAAATTGATTAAAAATTAACTAAATAAGTATTCCGATATAATGTTAACAGATATTTAAAAGAGTAACTCTTGAGTTTCTTGCGGATTCGTCTCAGCAGATAACGACTTTCTAAACCCTGTACTCATAAAAAAAATACAATTCAAAAGTGCTTGTAAACATCTATTCGAATATTTGATTTTGACATAAGTAAAGTTTTTTGAAATAATATGAGAGTTAAAAAAATTATTGGTTTAATTTTTTTTTTAAACACAATATAAATCTTTCGCATTGTTTGCCCTAAATTTACTTATTTCTTATATAAAGTGAAACAAATTAAATAGGTATAAATAAGATAAGAGACACTAACAGTTAATTTAACATTTTTCTTACTTGAAGAGTATAGCAAAATGTAGAAAGACTATTTCATTAGAATAAAGAGTACCCTTTTCGTGTGCCTATTATAAATTTTGGGAAAACTCCGCCGTCTTTCTTTTTTTTTACGAATAAAATTACCTTATTATTAATAATTTTTTTTATCTTCTTCTCAATTAACATCTTTATAAATATTTTTATTTTCGATTCCACGTAACATTAATGAACTGCGTTAACTTTTGGCTCGTCTTTTTCAGTCAACCTTCGCAACTTGGAAGACTAACGGAAACCATTTCATGAAAATTCGCACAATTTTTTTTTTTCTCTAACTCTACACAAAGTCGTACATCGTGTATACGTACCTACAGGACGCTAGGATTATATTGTTGATTGTAATTATACATTTTTTTTTATCAATTGTTATAAAATTGTTGACACAACCAAATTTTTTTTAACAGTATATGATGTTTGTTTGGATTATTACCTACAATGACCTCATTGTTAATTTTTAAAAAAACGACTATTATTTACAAGTTCAAAATGTGATACATTTTAATTATCATAAATAAAAGTTAATTAATAATTTTTGTTCGACATATTTTTGCCTTAATTAAGATTATTATCGTTTTAAAATTTATTTAATTAATAAATAAAATTAATTAAATAACAATTATTACAATAGCATTCTTATCACTGTAGTCTTTTGTATGAGACTTTATTTAAATTAGTATGGAAGATTCATGATTTTTTATCGATACTCACCACATGTCATGTGTCATTGAAAGTGCGTTCCGTTTCACTGTTCTAATAATATTAAAATATTAAACGGATGCTAATTATTCTGATACTTAATTAATTATAAATATTAACCTTATTAGGGCAAAAATATTACTTCCATCTAATCTAGACTCTATTTTCTGGACTTCATTTAAAAAGAAATAAAAAAAAATTAATAAGGTATAGTTAGTACATTTTAATAGGGCGGGGCATCATCTGCTAGCGTTATTAAAAAAAAGCTGTTTCTATATAAAAAAAAAAAAAACTAGTTTCTATTTTTACACTGTGGTATATGGTCCTAATATATACATATATGTTTATCAAATCAAATTATTTGTATGAATCTATCGGCAGATTGCAGACGACCCTGCCTTCCGTGCTTTAGAATTTAAGTCACAATTATTTTTTTCTAAAAATGCATTTTTTTTAGTGTAAACTACTTGTGATATTATATAAATACTACGAAAAGCGTTAATAAAATTCACAGTGAGTATAAAATACGCTATTTAAAAAAAAAGTTTTGAACTAACATGAATTGTGACGTTTAAGCTCTTTAACGTTATAATAGCAGTTAATTGAACAAGTTATTTGCTATTATATACATTAATTTGCTAAAAATGGGGTCAATTCTGAGGAAGCATTTCTCTAAATCTATCTATAAAATTAAGATTTCAATTTGATATCACAGTGAAATATTTACTCTATGGATCAATATACACAAAATTTATAATATATTTAAGTTTAAATTATTATAAATTTAGTTCTTGATGGTCATTAAAATAGTAAAACTATCAAATTAAAATATAACCTTTAGCGATAAGTTTACAGATATGCCTCAAAATTGGCCCCAATAACCTAAAATATTGTCATTAGTAATGAGTTATTTTACAGTGGTTCGATTTGGGATACTAGGTATATGATTATTTATATGTCGATCTCTAAAATCTATTGATACTTTTTAGAGGCAATGGAGTCGATTCTGAAGTAGCATTCCCTAACCCAATCTCTAAAATTAATATTTACATTTGATATTATAGCAAAATGAATGTTCTAAGGACTATTATAAATTAAATTTTTAAATATATAATTGCGTCACTTATTTAACATTTCATGAAGAATTATACTATTATCTATAATAGTTTTGTAAAATTATCAAATAAATTTGTAATTTTGAAAATAAGTTATATACCTCAGAATTGACTCTAATTTTAGACACAATTTAGAATGTCATTCACAAATATAAATATATAGATTTTAGTGGTACTTTCAGAGTGAGTGATGGAATCAATTCCCATTTACGAATTGATAATGAATTTTTGTGTTTCCTCCAATACAGAAAAGACAATTATTATCTAAATCTGCCATCTCTACAATAATATAGCTAAAGATTTGTAAATAATCTTTCAGACCTATGTCTTATTTCGATAGTTTATTACATTTGAATGTATTCAATAGTAATTATCTTTTCCCATCACTAAAATAAGTTAATTTAGGCGATAATGTTTGAGAATGACATTTTATAATCAGCCTCATTTTTGTGGGTTTGAAATTCCTAGGTAATTAGATTACTTATTTGATAACGAACTCAATTGAAGCAACTCAATACGTGGAAACATCTAGACACATTTTATGTACGTATACACTGCCACCAAGCGCGTTTTTTATAAACAACTGTTAATAACCGTTATTTGAATAGCGTTATTTACGTTAAATAGTGTATTACACTTCGTTATGAAACAGTTTTGCGTGCCGTAAGGAATTATATAAGAGTTTCTTTCCCTCCAAACTTGTGCAAATCCTCGTAAGGACACTGGCGTGCTGGGGGAGGATCTCTCTTCGGCCTTTGCTCTGCATACTAGTTTTTCGACGTCAATATTGTCACGAACTCTGGAAATTAAGAGCAAAAATGTTATGTAATTTAATCCTCTACAGTGGCGAAACGTGAGGAAGTTCTGCTGTATCAAGAACACTTACATAAAAAAGGAGATAAATATTATAATGCATTTTCACTACTAAGAAGTATTGTAACATATAGTTATGCACTATTAATATTACCACGGTGGCCGAGCGGCTTGGCAAGAATTTGATAAAATCTATTTATATTGAACGAAAATAACAGTTATTAGCCGTTATTTGAATAGCGTTATTTATTTTTGTTTCATGTTTGTCAGAACTGTCACCGAGTCATATCAATGGCCTTCATGAACAACTAAGGCGGCCTAGAACCGTCGAGGACTCTATCCACACGTTTAGGTATTTAAATTGTTTTACACAAAAGATACTGACCATCGTAGTTGACCATGCCATCACCATTAAGGTCAGCCTCGCGGATCATGTCATCTACTTCTTCTTCACTGAGCCGCTCACCGAGGTTGGTCATCACGTGGCGCAGCTCGTCCGAAGAGATTAGACCATCGTTGTTCTTGTCGAATACCCTGAAAATAATAGCCGTATGTGGTATGAAGAGAGATATTTTCTTTTGTATAATAAAAGTAACATTCAATCATAAAAATTATCGTCAGGTAGACGACCATAGTAAGTCATAATTGCTTCCAAGTCGGTTTTGTATTATCCTTTTATTCATTTGAGGGAATAATCGGAAAATGTTTTTGCCCATCAGCAATAAAAGGCCATTGTACGATTCAAGGATTAGGTAGTTAGAAGGCAAACGTAGCAGTATTTTTAGAATGGTTCTCCAATAGATTCCAACGATACAGGAAGCTATAAATATAGGTTCATAGTGGTTCGTTGCAGTGAGCTGTAAGAAACCTCCTTAACTTTTTTTACCAAAGGGAGATTTGTTACAAAAATCATCTGCTGTGGTACCTTTTTTTTATATAGCATAGAATGGCAAACAAGCTGACGGCCCACCTGATGGAAAGTGGTAACCGTCGCCTATAGACATGAGCAGCACCATGGACATAACAGAGTATACTGTTTCGTCCATGATACTCCCCATGCGTTGCTATTCCTGAGGACTCGTATGTTCTTCCTCTGTACCCTATAAATTCACGCCATATCCCATCCTTCAAACCGAAACACAGCCATGCAAACACAACTGCTTCACGGTAGAAACACGAATGGGGCAGAGGTACCCAAGCAATCGACTTTTGTACAAAGTAGTAGTACTACCTCTGCCTCGCACTTGTTTCTATCGTAAAGCACTTGTGTTTGCATAGCTGTATTTCGGTTTGAAGGATGGAATATGGTAGTAAAAATACAGGGTACGAAGATATAACATCATAGTTCTCAGGAATGGTAAAATGGCAACACAGTCACTTTTATTATCATCATCATCTTTCTATTCTTATCCCAATTATATACATTTTGGGATCGACGTAATATGTTTTTACCCATATTACCTAAAGATTTGGCTTTAAATTTTACGACCAGCTGCTTGCCTGACGTCAAGCCTCCTTATGTTTGCATTTGTTAGTAGTAACTGCTGTTTATAGTATGGAGGAAAAGATCGAGGAAAAAGGAAGAAGACTTTGGGAGCAAGTAGAGAGAATCACAATATATATGGTTGTACATGCCCACCACTTTCCTTTAGCCAGTTTGCTCTTCTAAGTATTATTAAAAAAAAAAGAGAGATTTTATCGGCTAGTTTATTAGTGGAGTGAAACAATCATTCATGATGTTAGATACTCAGGGATAACAGTTAAAGAATTATATTAAGCAAAATTATGTACCATCATAATGCTCACCTGAATGCCTCTCTAAGCTCATCTTCTCCATCAGTTCCACGCATTTTTTTGGACATCATTTGGAGAAACTCGTTGAACTCTATGGTGCCGTTGCCATCCTGGTCCACTTCTTTCACCATATCCCGCAATTCAGTCTCTGTTATAAAAAAAACAATAATTAATGTTAGCAAACAATAATTAGGAACGTTATGGTCAACTTGTAAAATTTGGATAATGTAGCTCGCATATTGTAGGATTAATTTATTTGTTTATATATGATAGATAAGAAACTATTAAAAATAAATCTAACAAATTATTTTAAATTTAACGATTTTTCTCTTTCTGGCTGTGAAATAAACTCCTTGCCGAGATTTACCCTAGAGACTACAGTATGGGGTTCTTCAAAGTGGGTATATTAAGGTTTCCTCAGGGTCGGCAAAGTGCAAGTGACACCCCTAGTTTTACAGGTATCCATAGGCTTGGTTGCCACCTTCGTAAATAAAATCAACCAAATTGTTGCCATAAAAAAAAGATTGTTTTTATGGAAAGATTAGGTTGGAGTGTAAACTTCGGGTTATTTATATCTACAATATGAAAGTCGACATTCAAAATTAAATATCCTTTCGTCTTCTAATTAAAAGTATAATAATTTATACCAAATTCCATTCAAAATTGTGATTGAACAATAAACTTCGAACTGAAAATAACAATCGAAAAATGTATTTATAACTTATGCTATTTACATCGTCTAAGTTAGGAAATTATTTAATTTGTAAAAACAAAACATGAGTATACTTATAGATATTTAAAATACAAAATAAAAATATACAGGTATACAATAATAACAAAAAAAAAAATAGAACTAAAAAGCGTAAAAATGTTATATAATTTGTGAGTCTGTAACTGTTTATTTACAACAATTTTCAATATTTTTAGCACATATTTACATTTCTGTTTGTCCAAAGGCTGATTGGGAGAGAATGCATTAATAAATAGCATTCAGTTCACTATCCGCATTAAACTTTTTTTTTGTAATGTGATTAATAAAGAATAAATGAAATACATAAATAAATATACAATACCATTTCTTTACAGTCTTTGAATATCTTTGAATATCGTTCTGGATATCTTGTATACATAGTTATTTTATTACATAACAAAATGAAGGATAACTGTATAGAGTATAATTTGTTTACACAATACTCTGTGGGCAATACATTACAACAGCTATCTGGTTTTGATGTAACCAACTGTCATGTGTAGACCCTTTTTTATTACAATGTCGCTACGTAAGTATTATATTATTGCTATAAATTCAAGTAACAGCACGTAGTAGCATTTTATCGTTTTCATCATTATAATAACTCCGTTTATTTCTTTATTTATTCTTTATTGTACCACTGTAAAAAAATACGAAAAAAGACATATGGTATATTACACTTATGAAGTACAAAAGGCGGTTTTATCGCTTCCTTAAAGCAATCTCTTTCAAATAACCTTAGGGTTGAGGAAAAAAGAAAATAAGACGCTCATATTAATAAAACATATGCAAATAAGCATATGTAGACCTTACATACATCTCAGTACTTTCAATAGTATATATTACATAAATAAATATATAAAATACATAACACATTTCCGTGTGGTCCCGGCATAGAATAGGCCACCCTTCCTTTCCCGTGGATGTCGTAAGAATCGACTAGTGAGGGCGAGGGACGGGCAGCAGCGTCTCTCTTAAAACATCACTAAAGCCTAATGGCGGCTGCCAATCCATCTGCCAAGTGTGGCAACTATTGGCAAAACCCCCCAAGGGGGAATTAATGGCTGATATGATGATGTTGATAACATACATGTCTACTTGTTATTGTGTGTAAAATAATTGTAGACATATGAAAAATATTACAATATGTATATATCTAAATGTAATATTTTACCCGCGACTTCGTTTGCGTGACCAAGTTTCAGTATTCACTGACCGTGATAAAAAGTGACCTATATCCTACTCTATCTCATAAAGTATATCAAATTTTATAGTATTTTTTTAACTAATTCACTTTTATATTTATAATATTATTAAGGATTATGCTCCAATTGTTCGGTAGATAAGCTCATAATGCCGACATTTCAGATTTCCCTGCAGAGCGATTGACCATTAATTGAGAAGATAACCATCTGCCTACCCATTGCACTGCCATATATCCGGCAAATGACATCGGAGACGATAACGCAGATGATTGCCCAGTAATGCCCGGGATAATCAATACCCAATCATGACCGTACAGGAGGAAAACCAATTGTTAGTAATGGAATTAGTGTCTAATTCTCTGTCTGGCCCATTGCTAGCAATATGCTCATTAGGTCGACCTCTACATGGATCTTCCAGAAAATCATCATGCTTAATTCTCGCCCAATTCATCATGACGGATCAACGGACCTGCTTATATCCGCACCTATCATCTCTCACTGGTGCTTCGCCAGCATATACCGATAGCGCGAGCGAAGTTACCATTCCATTTTCACCCATAAAGAAAATCCTATCAGGTCGACCTCCATTTGGTTTACTCTATTCTTTTATCATGATAGAGCTTATCCTCGTGTCGATCGCGTATTATTTTTTGTTACGATTAAAAAAAGCTTTTTGCGCACCAGAATGTACTTACGAGAATTCGTTCTAAATTCAAATTTTAAATTAAATGTACTCATGAAATATTTCGTAACAGATCTTTATGTTCCATTAATTTTGAAATAAGATTAGTGGAATAAGTCGGGATTTTTTAATTACAAAACGAAATCCACCTTATTGTATCATTAAAAAAAGTATAATAGTATTTTTTTATACTTGTAGATATTAAAAATACCGGGAATAAGTTAATACCGTGTGTTTAATTTTTTTTATAAATTTCACAATACTTCTGTAACCATAGAAAATTTGTTACTGGCATTAAGGAATACGAAAAGTTACCTTTTCGTCTATGATCTATGATCAAGTATATGATATATCTATCGTACGATACAAGTACTACTATTACACTACATTTTCATCTAATTTTCCGTGTGTTTCTCTTTTTTTGCGACGCCTTGTACAGAGGGTGGTTCAATTTAGGTTGGTTGTTGTTCATATGTAAAAATTCATGAAATCCCATCCATCCAGAGCCGCAAATTGAAATGTCTACCGTTGTATTCATTTATTCATTCCGTATTCAAACAGATATTCCCGCGTAGCGATTCCTAATAAATAATTCATTGTGGACCACGTAATCCAATTATGATTGGTATTTTTCGATATAATTTTTTGGATGCTATGATTTGATACTTTTTATTTTGTCTACTAGTTGTACTTTTGACTTTCTATGTTCTCTTCTTAGATTATATACTCGCAGATAGAGCTTCGTGTATCCACAAGAGATCAAAATTTAATTAGTCAATAGCTGGCACATATTTCTTTTTTAGATTAAAACAACGACTGTTTTTTTTTTTATTCAAAACCATAGACACAAGTTTTTTATTCGCAAAAATAAATAATATTTGCTAATATATCATATTTTTCACCATCACCTATTCCTTCCTAGTGCCAATTCGGTAACCATTTTATTATCATTCATTAAAAAACTATTCACGTACCAAAAGGTTAATCTGTTTATAGCGAAGCATATATCTCTTAACACTCTATCTATATAATCTAAGGTTCTTCTCTATACCAATATCATATTTTCCATTGCTACCCATAGACCTACCCAATAGATTGATGGGATTAAGAATCTTCTTTTTATGAAGTCGCTTAAATATATATATATATAATAATAATAGAATAGAAAATATTTATTGTCAGAAAAATACAATTATAAAAGAAAATACATATATAAGAAGTGTCTCATATGAGGCAAAAGGAACTGGCTCAGCTGATGCTGTGAGTGTCCCAGCGCAATGTGTACAGCTACACAGCGCTGGTTTTCAGCCAGTCTCTCTCTTAACAAAATACAACAAAAATTCAAATGGGTACAAATGCAATTGCTTCTTTCATTTCAACCAACTTTAAAGATAAATTTATTGAATACTAACGATTCGCCCCGGATTCGTATAGATTGATAGATAGAAGGATAAATTAGAATTTTATTATATATACTGCCAGCTTAATTTTCTGCTTGCCTCATGGTTAACTAGTAGAGAACGCCATTAGGTGTTAAGTCCGGCATATGTACACTTACTTATATAATTGCACATTGAAGTTTAAATAAATAAATATATTATCATCATATCATCCGTGTTGGTGTGCTGGATATAAGTCGCCCCTATAGATTGCCATAAGGAACGATTCCGAGTCACCTGCCTGCACTGACCCCCTAAAATGCATTTGAGATCGTGACTGGATCTAGTGCGAGGTCGTCCTACTCTGCATTTGCCTGTACGGGATCGTTACTTAAGAACCTTTCTTTCCATCGGTTGTGAGTTTAAATTTATCGTTTATTAAATATAAATAACAAGTTTTCTAGATGTATTTTATTTTATCAAGAACACGATAAATAAAGTTGTTACATCACTATTTGTAACAATGTATTCGTATAGTGTCGGCAAATTTCAAATGGCGGCACCGTCGGCGCCGTGGCTTAGTTGGTTAAAGCGCCTGTCTAGTAAACAGGAGATCGTGAGTTCGAATCTCGCCGGTGCCTACTTTTTGAAATCAGGGGTTTTTAGTTTACAAACGTAGAATAATTAATTCCAATAAGGCTGGATAACTTAGTTAATAAACGAAGAGTAGAAGGAAGAACTGGGTTCTATCGATGGACTATATTATTTTTTATTATGAATTTTTTTTATTCAATAATTCCAAACTATTCTATTTTACTATTCTAGTTTGGATATTTATTACTCAATCACACTTAAAATGAAATCTTGTTACAAATAGAGAAGGTGGTTAAAAAATAGAGTAGGTACTTTCAATACAAATTCATACAAGAAAAACCATAGACATACATTCTTTTGTTTTTTTTTTTTAATAATTTAAATAATATTTTAATATTAACAAATATTAAAATCAAACAAATTAGTGTTCACGACTTTATATAATACTGATAACATGCCCTGACTTCGCACGAGTACAATATTTGCTTCTGTAACTTTTAAAACTGTTCAACACATTTTAGTAAAGCTGATATTTTAGCACGTAAAGTATTGCATTAATATTCTCTAAATTTTTATTAAATTTGAACGGTTTATACAATTTATTTTACTTTTAACATAAAAATCATCTTTTTGCTTGAGATATTAAACTTAGATAAATGGTTTCGTGGATTTTTCTGTAAAGATAAAAGTATTAAATATATTTGCTATACATTTTATTCCTTTATTTCAAACCGTTTAGGCAGCGCACGCCATTTTATAGAATGTTTGCCGACTTTGATTACATTTATTGTGATTAATTATGAAAAATACAAAAAAAAAACAAAATAAAAAGTAGTCTATATAATTCGGGGATAATATACCTTTCTAACAGTGAAAGAATTTTGAATATGGAATCAGTAGTACTGGAGATTACCCCGAACATTCAAACTCACAAACTTTACCTCTTTATAATATTTGTATAGACTAGTTTTTGCCTACGACTTCGTCCATGTGACCCGGTATGTAAATATATTCCAAATTTACATACTGGGATAAAAAATATACCAAATCTGATAGTGTTTGGCTTCGCTGTTAAAGCGATATAAGGTAACAAACAAACTCACTTTTAAATTAATAATATTAGTAAGAATAAACATGAATATTATGTTATCATCATCATCATATCAGCCTTTAACTCCCCCTTGGGGGGTTTTGCCAATAATTGTTACGCTTGGCAGGCGGATTGGCAACCGCCATTGGGCTTTGGAGGTGTATTAAGAGGGACGCTTTTACCCATCCCTCGCCCTCCCTTAGTCGTCTCTTACGAAGGGGTGGCTTATTCTATGGCGGGACCACACAGCCAATACATTATGCTATAATTAATATTAATACGCTTTTATTAAAAAAAAAAATGTATAAGTTTAAATCATAATGAAATGAATTTATGTATTAATTATTTTAGAATCCTGTCATTATATATATATATATATATATATATATATATATATATATATATATATATATATATATATATATATATATATATATATATATTTGTACAAAAGTCGATTGCTTGGGTACCTCTGTCCCATTCGTGTTTCAACCGTGAAGCAGTTGTGTTTGCATGGCTGTGTTTCGGTTTGAAGGGTGGGATATGGCGTGAATTTACTGGGTACAGAGGAATAACACCTGAGTCCTCAGGAATGGCAACGCATGGGGGTTTCATGGGCGAAACAGAATACTCTGTTATGTCCATGGTACTGCTCATGTCTATAGGCGACGGTTACCACTTTCCATCAGGTGGGCCGTCAGCTTGTTTGCCATTCTAAGTTGTATAAAAAAAAAAAAAAAAAAAAAATATATATATATATATATATATATATATATATATATATATATATATATAATATGTCAATCTTGTAATCAATAACAGCAGTAATATTAATATTCAGCGAAGTGTTAATTTCGACTGCGCGCTAATAAATCACGGGTTTAATTATATATTAATAAATGAAGCAGTAGAATGTAAAGATTAATTAAATTCGAAGTTATTTATCAAAATAAATGTGTACAAATCAGTAGAGTCGTTCTAGTATTTTACATTTTTATTTATACCATGAAGGTGACAAGTAAGCCCGTTTGATGGTAAATGGCCACTGTAGCCTATCAACGACTGTCCCACTAGGGGTGTCACGTAAGTATTGCCAACCTTGAAGAAACCTTATTACTCTGTTTTTAAAGAATATTTTACATTTACTAAAATAATGAATGGCGAACCCGCCTACACTATCGGTATACGCTGGCGGGGTCACCAGTGAGAGATGAAAACAGCAGGTTCATCGTCACGAATTTAAGAATTACCAGTCATAGATGATTGGTGAGGGTGAAGACAGATCAGTTAGCTCATCATGAAAAAAAAAACAAAAAGAATTAACCACGATGGTTTCCAGGGGCACAGATAATATAATACTATACCCAGGGGGAATCGCGTGGAGGCCGATCTGAAAATTCTGTCAGGCTAGTTGCTGGTTCCATTGCTAGCAATATACTCGTATTGCTAGCAATGAGGCTGCTAGTCCCCATTACTAAAAGTTCCTTTCCTCCTGCATGAAGGGTACTACGTTACTACTATATTAATTATGATACTACTGAGTTATCAGCTTGTTTGCTATTTCCAATTGTGTATAAAAAAATGCTATTTCGAAGCGCCTTTTCGTAAGGAACACATGTCGTATTACTTATGCATTATGTACTCGTATGTTACGATTTATATGCAAACACTATAGATAATTTCTCTTTTAGGATTCTCAAAGTTAACTAAAAGAAATCCCTTCAAAGGATAAATTCGACTGTATCATTGTTTTTTTTTTCTTTTTATAGCCTTTTTTCTTTTGTTTCAAGTACGAATGTGTAAATGTGTTACACGAACAAACATATTTCAAGTCTATTCTCAGATATGGATTTAAGTAATCGAGAAGCATTATAAATGATTACTTTCTGTCTGCTATGATTTAGACTAGAAAACTTTGTATCATCATCATCATTATCTTAGTATTTAGTCGTCTTACACTGCGTTTGTATGTACGCGGTCGTCACTCCAGAACCTATCTGTCAACCTATCAGGTCGTAATATACATTTCTCCCACTTATTATTTAACAACAGTTCATTCTAGTATCCCCACTCCAACATATAAGAATAATAAAAAAAATATGGACAAACGTTAGTACAGAGACACTATTTAGAGACAATGATCTAAACCGTACAGATATAGCAAGTGTTTAAAAACTTTAAATCTTTAAAGTACAACGCACGTGGCGCTCTTTATCGAAGACAGGTGCCTGACAAACAAACAGAGCACTGTTTCTATTTATATAATTTGTTTTCGTCGTTCAACTAAAATTTTTGGCATGAAACACTGTTTATATTTATTTTTTAAAGCAAATAAAGATAATAAATGCATAGAGTGTAGAATTTTGATTATTATTTATTTTAATAAAGTGAAAATATAATAGAATCCCGCCAGCGCTATTAGTGTAAGTTGGCGGGGTACCAGTGAGTGATCTATCATCATAGATCAGGATGAAGTCAGGTCAGTTGACACATAGTGACGAATTTGCTAGGAATTAATTACGATGGTCTTCTAGGGAGCTATGTGGTCAAGTCGACCTCCACACTGCCCCCCCCCCCCCATTCCCTTATCAAAATACATTTATTTTGTTAGCAATGAGTAGTGTCCTCATTACTAACAAATCCTCTCCCCTGAATACCGTTTTATAACTATATTTGCGTTAAAAAATTTCAGATTATAATTATATTTATAAATTAATATGCTCTCGAATATAATTTCTCTACGTAAAATTGCATATATTTTGCTCCACTATTATGTCGTAACAGTAAAATCGTACGATATCGTGTCGTGTCGTTTTATTATAAATTATAAAAACGTCCATTGATCCTTGAGTTAAGAATACTTCGAAATAATGTATTTCGATATATGAAGAAATTCAAATAAATCAACCAATCAAATGTTTTGATACTCGATGCTCGATCTATATAATCTAAGGTATGGGTACACCGAATTCTTAAAGAAACGTAATAAATAAATAAGTAAACAAACAACTTCAATTTTACATTCATATTATTAGTAAGGACTATGATTTAAGTCTTACTGCAGTTTCTTCAATAATTCGAAACATTCTATTTTACTATCTCAGTTTGGATATTTATTATTCAATCACACATAAACAACTGAATGGATTTAAATTAAATATTGGCACAAATAGATCGTTTATAAGCATTTCATCCTAGTTTGATAAATAGAGTAGATACTTTCAATACAAATTCATGTGAGACAAACCATAGAGTTATATTTTTTGTTTTTTTATAATAATTTAAATAATATTTTATGATTATTAGGTACAAATTCAATTTCATGTTTATAATAATATAATTAATAAATTATATTTTTTACTACAGATTCTTATATAAATAAATACTCACCTGAAGGTCTTTGTCCTAGCGAACGCATCACGACGCCAAGTTCCGCCATCGTGATCGTGCCATCTTCATCTTTGTCGAATAGCATAAATGCTTCTTTGAATTCTGCAATTACAATAATAAAAAAAAAATTGGAATATTAGGTATGCGGCCAGCATCAAAACTCGAAGAATGTTCAAATAATTTAATATATAAGTTTAGTACTTATAAGTGCTAAACTTTTATTTTAATAATATAATAAAATTTTGACTGCACAAACATCGTATGTTTGTATTTGGGAAATATTTAAAATAAAATAATATGAAGAGTCTTATTGTTCAAAGTAGCGGGCAATAGTTAATGTCTAATAATTTTTCAGTGAAAAATAACAAAATATTAAAGTACCTGCTATAGGTATTTAATTTATGTAGGCATTTATATTTACTTAATTATTGCAAGTATTAATTTAAGTATAAGGTATTAGTTACATAAGAGTTTAATTTATTAAATACTTGAAGTAGAATATAAGAAAACATACCTGCAACTTGTTCTTCCGTAAGGCCATACTCTGACTGAAAACAATAAAAAAAGAAAGATATTTTTATTTACACGTTACATAGAATCATAATATTTAAAAAAATATATAGAAAAGTAAACATACAGAAACTAGGCGTACAGATAAATCACTAGTAATTCTCCTTAGTCTTTTATACTCTTTATTATAAATATCGTCCGTAGGCACAGTTTTGGGCATTTTCCTAATATTTTTCTTATAAACTCACAAAAAACACATAGCGACTCCGTTTATAACAAAAACAATTTGTTATCACTCAGAACTTTTGTTGGTAAAAACTTTTCTATACCGGCACAAAACTTTATCATTAGATCCTTTTGCTTTCTTGTATCGTCGACAAAAAAGTTGTAACTCACTGATTGTGAGGCTACAGATAAAATTTAAGAAAAAAAAAATACACTTTCTCGCTTTATAAAATCAGACAGCAAATTATTTCTGTACTATTTAAAAATGGAACGTTACTCAATCACTGATATACACGTCGCGTCGCGACATTGTCAATTCAAAACTGGATTTCTATATTTAAATTATTTTTGCGTGTTATAGATACTATAAGGACTGTTCTACAATGGTGCCAAAATTAATTCAGATTTTTGTCTAATAAATAAGATATATATATTAAATTACATTTTTTATTATTTTTAGTAATTTCGTATTAACTTAATTAATATATACAAATGGTTTATGTTTAATAAAATCATTTGTATCTAATTAATCCACATTAATTATTTTCTTCATATTTGAATTAAGAATGATATCCAACAAAATTATACTGATAAATCCAAATAAATTCAAGTAACTCTTTACTGTATTTTACTTGCTTTATTAGTAACTTAAGAAATTTAATAATTGCACATTTACAAGTAGTGAAAATAACATGACATCATTGTAAAGGAAGTAAATATTCATCTTGGCACGCGCATACGTATCATTTGGAACGAGATCGTTTCGGCGGGAAAATTATGGACACATCAACAACGTTCATTCATTCAGTCATAGATTAAGAATAGTACTGCCGTTCTCTTTCTAAGAATTTTGTATTTGTATAATAATAATTCTGTATTTGGGACAGAGCGTAAAGATGGATTAAATGATAATTAATAATAGTAATAGATATACAATAGAATAATAATTATAATAAATATAATTTTCATTGCTTTCAATATTTTGATACTGTGTTGCTTTTACCAAGGCGTGTCGTCAAATTTTAGCGAAGAGGTAGGTAAAAGAGGTTGGGGGAAAGGGATTATTAGTAATAAGGATCTGCCCTATTGCTAGCAATATACCTAAACAATATACTCTATCAGGCCCATTTGCACACAGTTCCCTTTGGAAACTATCTTGGTTAATTCTTCTGAATTTATCACGAAGAACTAACTGACCTGCTTTTATTCTCACTTTCATCATCCCTCATGAATGTCTCGTCAACGTATACAGATAGTGCGGGCGAAGTTACTATTCCATTATTACCTTTTAAAAATAAAATAATGTTTGGATGTAGTATATAGATTATACGTGTATATGAGTAATAACGTTATATTTCTTCTATGTATTATATCATATTCTCTTCCTTATATATATAAATATATATATATATATATATATATATATATATATATATATATATATATATATATATATATATATATATATATATATATATATATATATATATATATATATATATATATATTCCTAATTGTTTACTATTCAAATATCTGTTTGTCTTTGTCAACAGCGCAGTAGCTATAATCAAGTAATTCAAGTACGCGTTGCTTCGAATAAAAAAACGTTTGTATGAAATCTATGTAACCATCTGTATGCAATATTGCTTAGTTTTAGTATGAAAAAGGAATTCACCTCGAATATATTGCAGGAAGTCAGTGGATACTGATTGCTAGTAATTTGGCCAGTCGACCTTTTTTTATATTTGTATTTTTATAGACATATTTTTTCTGAAGATCTCAATATATTATTTCTAAGACATGCATCGTTTTACAATACAAATAGCTTAAGATTGTTTCTTATGGTAATCTATCGGAGAGCTCAATATTTAGCATTGCGTCATTAACGACTGAAAATACTAATAAAAAAAAAAATAGAATGTCATGAAAACACGTATATATTAATGTCTTTCATTAATGCATTATACTATTCGATTTATATATCTGTGCCTCTAGTGAGAAAGGGTTCAATTCAAAATGGCCACTTTTCAGGAGAGCCAAAAAACTATTTTAAATAAAGAAAAAAAATTCTGCTGCTTTTATTATTTGCTAATTGAACAAGTCAATGATTGCATTTATAGTAATTTTTTCTCTTCTTTCTTATGAAATTGTCGGTTTTTGTGTAAAACCTATAGTTTTAAAAATAATTCTATTATACCTAATCACACTTAACAAAAATATTAAAATTATCATGTGAAAATAGTTATTATTTTCACAAAAATATTTACACAAAAATAAATTCATATTTAAAGGATGGTTCTAAGTATCTTGTCATTTTTCGGCACTATTTTTGTAAAATATTGTAGTTTTATTTCTAATTATGACTTTTTTACCACAAATATTTTGTTAATTGTAGCCTTTTACATGTATACTATCTCTATTGCTTTTAAAGATATCGTTACGATTCTTATACCATTCGAAAGAGAAAAATTTGCTTATTTAAAGTAGCCTAAAAAAGAAAAAGGCTATAACTTGAGTTATACCTTTCTCACTAGAGGCACAGATATATGTATATATACAGCCGCATGCTTGTTTACTATATCATTTATATATTAATATAAATGATATATAACATAGCGGTAAAGGAGTATGCGGCTTACTTGATGGTAAGTGACTACCACTGCCTATGAGCACACGCAACACCTTAAGAATTGTAGATGTGCTGCCGGCCTTTTAAAAAATAATATGCTTTATTAAACATATTCAAAGTTTAGGTAAATTACCATTAGAGCATCGATTATAAACATGAAATTATTAAAGAAACCAGCAGACCAGAAAATGAGCCTGTCTATCGTAAGCTCGTGAACTGTGGCATGAAAACGAAGGTTCATAATTTTTTCGATAAGGTAATTTTAGTGCCACCGAAACGTCACTTCGCCCAAAGTTCTTAAGATAATGTCATAAATGATGATGATTTAAGGGAACTTGTAGATAAGTTTATTTGAATAAAGACGATTTAAATTTGACATATTAAAAAAATGTATTTGTAAAAGTCTATTTACTGTTAACCAATACATTTTGTTCTGTCTACGTTATTATTATTAACCATTTTAACATTATTAAAGTGATACCTACAAATTAGATGAAAACGATAAACAAATTAAAAAGGAAATAGTCTATTTCCTTTATGTATAATATATACATGCAAAAGTACTAAAATAGTGATATAATAAAAACAATAAAAATATATACATTTCCGAGTTCTTTCCCTTAGAAGTCCAGTTAGAGGAAGCCATTCCATCCCATTCATCCATTTTTAACTTTTAAATTCGATGATAAATGGTGTAAAGTTCATCTAATCACTTAATACAATTCAAATGCGGTAAAACTAACCCATTGCATATTCTGAGCGATTTTATGACAGATTAATATTGCTTTAAAACGCTGTTTGCATTCAAGGTGCAAATGAATTTTCTTTTATCTCTACCAGTGGAGATAGGTAGAATAAAATTCTACTATTACCATTATTAGTGGGAAAACGTTGATATGGACAAATGGAATTGGCCATATAGAGATAAGCTAGAGCGTGGAATGACGTGTCGTTTTTTTATATTGTATTCGTATATTCAATATTTTGCAGGGTGTACAAAAGTTAAAAAGTATAATGGTGATTAAATTCTAACATAGCTATTATTATTATTACATAGCTTTACTGTCTTAACCAAGAGTTATGCAATTTGGTATACTTTATTTCATATGGAGAAAAACATAGGCTACTATTTATCCTGGTTAATGAGAATATTCCAATCACGCAGACGAAGTCACGGGTATAAGTTAATTTAGAAATATTATTAAAAATTAAAAATCATATTTTAATAATTATTGTGTGATAAAAAATTTAGAAACGGGTAACATTTAAACCCATAATATTTACGCTTTTTAGAATATGATTATGATATTTTAATAAAATTTCTATATTAATTTACAAATAATAAACTGCCTAGTATCTAATCATAAATAAATATTTAACATCGAATTTAGTAAATTTCAACTATCACGCAGACGAAGTCGCGGAATTAGCTACTTGTGTATAATATTTAGCTTTCATCTCGAATAAAAACTAGTACTAAACCTTGAACTACTTATAACTGTCCATTGAAATTAATGTAATTCCTAAATCATACTATATTTCATTTGACTCACTATATTGTGAGACTAAGGCAGTCGAACATTCAGCCTAGGAATATTTTCTTAGACAACGCTAGAGACCATTTAGCTTTTCCTAAATATAGTTCTAGTAATAACGCTACAGCAAAAACAATGAGAGAACATTACGCGGCCGACATCCAAGGATATGAAGATATAAATGTTTCCTAGAGTAAATAGTAATGACACAGCGCTAACTCTGGCAAAACTGTAGAATTTTCTGGTACCTACTAGTCGTAAAACTATTTCGAGGAGTCAATGGCGGTGTTTAACAATATGATTGTTGACCGTTAAGTTTTAAATCATGCGCATTGTTTTTAACGAGCTAAATCATTAATCTTTGGTAGTGTATTCAGATTCTTTATTATCTTTAAACATGGTTACATATTTAATTAATTGTAGCGAACAATTGATGACTGTATGTTTTGTAACTATTTAAGACTAGTGGGATTTACAAATTTGTCACTTTATTTTTTTTTTAATACCATAAAAAGTTCACGGTCCATCTTATAAAAGCGATTACCGTCGTCTGTAGACATCAATATTAATAAAAAAAAAGTAACAGTTGAGTTTTTCAACTGTTTTATTCAATTGAAATTACATTTAGAATGAGTGATAGAGTCAATAA